GGGGGGGGGGGGGGGCAGGGGAAGACGGCTTGGCTCTCCTGGGGCAGTAAGGGGAGAAAGCAGAGGATGGGGAGGGGGTGTCTTCGAGCTTAGAGGGGGCTGAAGGGGGGAGGCTCTTCTGCCCAGGGAAAGGCTGGCAGGATGGGTTCACTGGGGGGGGGGGTGTTTACACTTTTTCTCCCCACCCTCTCCTGTAACTGGTTTCTTCTCCCTGCAGGTGAGATCTCAAGGTCTTGGCAACACACCTTGGAGGAGTCAAATTGCTGGCTGCAGGTGGAAATGCCGGGCTCGGTGCCTGTCTCCTTTCAGGCCTTGGGCTGAATACGTAGCTTTCTGGCAAGACTTTTGGGGTCCCCTTGCCCCTGTTCCTGGTGGGGGCAAGGGGAAACTCTTGGAAGGGGGAGGGGGCATCTTCCCCATCCAGAAGGGCCCTTGATTGGGGCGGGGGGCCAAGCTGTCGGCCTTTGGTTTCCTTTCCTCCTGGCGCTCGCTCTGCAGCGCCAGACCATGCCGTGAACATTCGAGCAGGCCATCCCGCTTACCAGCCCTTCCGACCGCGCCTCGGGGAATTGAACCGAGAGGGCAGCGGTGACCAGGGGACTGGCCATGGCTGGGAGTGGATATACAGACCTACGAGAGAAGCTCAAATCGATGATGCCTTATCGGGACGGCTACAAGAACAGCGGCGGCAGCAAGAGCAGGCGGGATCCTGCCGAGTCCCCCTACGGAGCTGGCGGGGGAGCCGCTGAACGCAAGCGCAAGCACCACCACGATTCTGACTCCGAGCCCACCGACTCCGAGGACCCCCCGCGGGAGGAGGAGGAGGAAGAGGAGGCCCAGAAGGTCAAGAGCGGCATCCGGCAGCTGCGCTTGTTCAGCCCCGAGGAGTGTGTCAAGATCGAAGCGCGCATCGACGAGGTGGTCTCCCGGGCCGAGAAGGACCTGTACAAAGAGCACACGGTGGACAGGGCCCCACTCCGGAACAAGTACTTCTTTGGCGAGGGCTACACCTATGGGTCTCAGCTGCAAAGGCGAGGCCCCGGCCAGGAGCGGCTGTACCCGCGGGGGGAAGTGGACTCCATCCCCGAGTGGGTTCACGACCTGGTCATCCGCAAGCTGGTGGAGCACCGGGTCATCCCCGAGGGCTTTGTGAACAGTGCGGTGATCAACGACTACCAGCCGGGGGGCTGCATCGTCTCCCACGTGGACCCCATCCACATCTTCGAGAGGCCGATTGTGTCGGTGTCTTTCTTCAGTGACTCAGCCCTCTGCTTTGGGTGCAAGTTCCAGTTCAAGCCCATCAGGGTCTCCGAGCCCGTCTTCTTCCTGCCCGTGAGACGGGGGAGTGTCACGGTCCTCAGGTAAGGAGAGGCCTGCCCAGTGACCCGGTTTGCTCGAGGCCACCTGAGCCCTTTTCGTCTCTGAGCGTGTGCCGTCTTTGCGGCTGATTCTGAAAAGGGGAAGGTTTGACCGCCATATTCAAACGGAGTAGAGCTGGAAGGCACCTCGGAGGTTGTCTCAGCTAATTGTTCTCCCGCCGCTAGGAAGTTTCTCCTGAATTCTGTTGCTTCTCTCCTCGGTTTGTTTCCATCCGTTGCTTCTTGTCCTGCCCTCTGGTGCTTTGGAGAGTAATTTGAACCCCTCTCCTCTGGGGCAGCCCTTCAGATGTAGGAATAAATATTGGGTTACGGTTTCCAGAGGACTTTGTTGGTTCAGCCTGTCTGGATGTAAGCAGTTCTTGTTTATTGAAAGGCTGGTTTTCAAGTTGTCTTCTGGGAACTTTCAGGCTGTTCTAAGTGAGGCCTAGTTCACACGGTCTGTAGCGATGAGCCAGCATCAATATTTGGCTTTAGCCATCTCGCCAATGCGCCGTTGGGCACTGAGAAGTCGTTTCACGGCACAGTCCCAGATTTGAGTAAGATAAGACCAAAACCCGGTTGATGGGGTGAACCAAGTGTGCAATTTAGGTTTCCGCTGGCCGAACACTTGAGTTCCAGCCTTGGTGTGCAGGTGGCTCCGCAGAGAGCAGGCAGTCTTGAGAACCGTAGCGGCCGAAGGAAGCTTGACGTGAGCAGCGTAGGCGCCATAACGGGAGAAAGCACTTCATTTTAAAAGATAAGGGCAGAGCGGCGTGTCTAGAATACGGAGAGTTGGTGCTTCCACGTTAGGAGAAAGATCAGCATGGGGAGAAAACCCCAGAGGACCGTACCGTAGACGTCGGGAATCGAGGCAGGAGGAGGGACATTCTCCCCTCTGCAAAAGGCTTGCGTGGGTTTGCACCTCTCCTGGAAATGTTTTGACTGCCAGGGTGCACCTTCCAGCTGAATGCCAGCCTAATGACTTGTTTGCGTTCGGAATGCAAATTGGAGAACAGCATGACTGATCCGGCTCCCTCCGGCAGCATTTCCAAGAACAAAACGCAGCCTCCGCGGAGCAGAGGAAGCCTGGCATCGCCGGGCCTTGAGGGCCCGTTCCCAGTCAGCAGTTCACCTCTGGCTTTGACCCCTGGGGGGGGCGGGGGGGCATGGTGAGGAGGGCTTGCCTGCCACGCTCATAACCGAAGGCCCAGGCCTGTCCTTTCCTGTCAGGCGGTTTTTGCAGAAGCTCTTCGTTCTCTAAAACGTTGCTCCTTTTTCCCTGGAGGAGGAGGAGGGGGTAATCCTTCAGCGATCCTGTCCAGAGCACTTTCTGCTAAAGCTGCAGCTGGACCTTGCAGTCCTTGGCTCTTCTCCTCCCCCAGCCCCCACTTTCTGGCTCTGATTCCCCACCCCCACCCCCAAAACAGAGGATGGAGATGGTCCTGGATAATGAAGAGGGAGTAGTACTGCCTGCGACAATCAGCACCTGGTGAAGATGCTGCTGCTGCTTCACAGGCCCCGAGTGTGAACTAGTGCAAAATGCTGGGTCAGGACAAACTCGTGACAAACTGTATTTATAGGCCTGTAAGCCAGAACCCGTTTCCTGCCAGGATGAGTCAAGCCTCCCCAATGATTCAGTGTTGCCATGGTAAAGGGAGGGCAGCTGATCTTTTTTTGGGGGGGGGGGAGAGGGGGTGTCTGAGGAGTGAAGACCCTTAAAAGTGCTCCGTGAGGGGTAAGGAGATCCCCTGCTTGCCTTGGTAAGCTGATCCCTCCACACGACCTGGGAGGAGGAAGATAAAACCTCTATAGCACAAGCAGGGCCTTGCACAACCGCCCAGGGGCACCCGTCATAAAGAGAAGCAAAAACTAAAGTGTCGTTTCCGGGGCACCTTGCACTTATAGTAACTAAGGTTCGTGCAGGAGACAAACTAGCCCTGACGGTCAGGAAGAGGCCGAGCAGCCACGTAGGAAATTGACCCATGAATCCTGTGGCGTTTGGGTAGCAAAGGCGTTTTAGGCAGGGCAACATCTGGGGATACTTAGATGTCTTATTTGTACAGGTAGCAAAGCACATCCTTGTGCGGTTGGGCAATTTGCAGTTGGTGATGACACTCTGCTTTCTGGGAGGAGGCTTCTAATTCACCTGTTCATTCACCTGTTTGGCCCAGCCAACACCCCCAAAAGTACCAGCACAGTTGACTCAGGAGAGCGTTCTTAGGAAACACGGGTAGCTGGGCAGGTATTGTTTTCACAGCTTTTGCGTTCTGTCTAGAAGTTGCTTCTTCAGGGCAGCAGGTTTGGATCTTTTGTTAATTTTGAACGGGGGGCCACCGTGGCTCTTGGTTTCCTGTCTCAAGCTGGACCTTATTTATAAGAAGACGGTGCAAAGCTCGCCTGTGTTTCCAATTGCTCAAGTTGGGAGAAAAAACGGGGTTCTAACTAAGCTGGGGGAGCCCTTTGGTGAGCCGGTTTACAGAACCACCTGTACAGGCAGCTGCTTGACTCTTGCAAGATAACCTCGGTTTCCTCTGCCAGTTTACCAAGGCAACCAGTGGGGCTTTTTTTTTCCAGGAGCAGAAACCTTGTATGGTTATAATAGGGCCAAGGGCACCGTGCAGGGCCTTGACATTTCTTTCCTGGCAGGCTGGTTTCCAAGGTAGGGAGCAGACACCTCACCACTCGGTGCCCTTTAAGCAGGGCGTTTAGACTTCGGTCTGCGGGGGAAGTAAGGAGGTGCAGTGTTCTCATGCGTTAAATTAAAGGCCTTTCAAGTTGGACGTTTTGCTGGCTCAGAAGGGGGACGGCTTCCGTTTCTTGAACCTACCAGAAGAGTCTTCAAATCCAGCCAGTGAGCCGCATCTGAACCTTCAGCCGAAGAAGCGGCAACTTCTGAACGCAGCTGCCTTTAGGAGCTGTAGAGAGCCGCACGGCAGGTAGGCAGGGGCCAGGTGCTTCATCCTGCGTAATGGGAGCCCTCCTGCCATTCGACAGAAATTGCAAGAAGCGGCCTGTCTTCTTTTTTTTGCCTAACTTCTGGCGGAGTATTGATTCCTCCCGGGTTGCCCTACCGTCTAGCGTTCAACGCCACGGCTTCTCCAAACCCGTCCCCTGGTTCTTCAGCGTGCAACTTCCAGGCTGCGCTTTCTAATATTTACAGTCGCGAGCCTTGTTGCTGCGTCGGTGTTGTTTGTGATAGGAAAGGACAAGCGTCCCACAACTACGCATCGCCTTTGCAACTGGTCAGCCAGGTTGGAATGTTGTCTTTCTCTTAATGGGTTTTTTTTTTTTCCGTTAGAGACGAATTAGGATGGTTCAGTTTCTATCCAGTTCCGGGCAAAGCTTGATCGCAGACGCTGAGTAAACCTGATGAAATTTATTGGGAGCGTCACCATATGGTGACAATCTTAGAATAGCTGAGATCATATTGGAGGGTCGACGTGTGTTTCCACTGCAGGCCAAGGTTGGATTAATAGCCGTGACGGCTCCAGTGGATCTTAGTAACAAAACTAGAATCTCAACCACGCTGGCTTTATAGGGAAGGGTGTGTTTTTGTTTTTTTTCTTCCTTTTTCCGTTCAGTTGTGTCCAATTCTCAGAAACCGTCTGGACAAGTTCCTGCAGTTTTCCTGGCAAGATTGTTCAGAAAGGGTTTTCACTGCCTCCTTCCTGGGCCTGGAAGAAAGTGGCCAGCCCAGGGTCATTCCACTGCTTCAGGACCGGAACTCGGGACTCCCTGCTTTCCGGCCTGATGCCTTAACCACTACACCAAACTGGCTCTCATGGAGAAGTGACTGGGCTGAGCATCAAACCTTCCCCCTAGGAGTTCATCTGAGGCCCGTTCTCTGAGTGTCTTGCCACCCAAGCCGTAGCAGCTGGCTGTAAGAGAGAAGATAACCTCCATATTGTCATTTCTGTCTTCTGGAGATACTGGCTCCAAATCCTATTGACTGGCCCAGCCTTTTAATCTATCCAGTCTTTCAAATGTACGCTTACCTGTTTGGCCTCAAATTGGTTTCATTCTGTTTTTACTTTACACATGAGTGTTGCTTAAAAAACACCCTGCGGTGCACAGCCTTGGTGTTTTCTTGCATTTAAGTGTACCAGACATAGCTTTGTGAGGTGTGTGTACCAGTAAGTACCAGTTACTACCGACCAGATAACTTACAAAGCAAGAATTGGAGTTTAGTCCCGGAACTTTTTTGTCTCAGAATTGGGGTTGGTTCTGCAAGATGTTATCTCAGTGCATTTCCTTAGGATTTTGGCTAAAGGATACCTGTGAGGTTATGCCACATGACCTGTCTTGGCCTCTGGAGCTGCGGAGAGCCGGCCTTTTAGACCACAGATAGTTGGTTACACAAGCTGTGCCTAGCAAAAATATTCCTGCGCTTGCCAAAGCAATTTGATTGGAGACCCAGAGCATGTGAGAGGACCCCACTTGTGCTGGGACAGTATTTGGGGCTCAGAGTTAAGGATCTGGGGGAGGAGGCAGTGGGGTGCTCGGAGTAGTACTGAAAATAGGGGAGCCCCAAATGGCTTTCTCCGCAAGGCCTGGCCAACCATTCTTTGAAAGAGGCCACAGCGTTTAGCAACCCTTCAAAGAGCAGCCGTGGGCCACAGGCTGGCTAAGAAAAGTCCCCACAGTAAACTCCTGTGCTCTAAAACCCCTTTTGTCTCACACAGTGGCTACGCAGCTGACGAAATCACGCACTGCATTCGACCCCAGGATATCAAGGAGAGGAGAGCCGTGATCATCCTTCGGAAGTGAGTGGCGGGATCTCTTTGGCCTCATTTACCGGTTTCTGGTGCCCCCTTGGAGTCTGTCCAGTCGATGCTGACTGGTCGTCCACCCATCCTCCTGCTTCTGAGGTGTTGCCTCTTGGAGCATTTATCTAGCCAGGGGGGCAGACTTCTCTAGACAGGAATCACTGGACCATGAGCAGTTGGGGTTGAGGAGAGGCCAGGAAAAGGGCCTTCTTCGCACACTCAAATGCCTCGCCGCCTTCTTTAAGAACTTGCAACTGGGGAGGCTGGAAGTGTGCTAGGTCAGCGCTTCTCCACGCGTGGCAAATTTGAGCCCCGTGGACTTCAACTCCCAGAATTCCCCAGCTGCCACACCCCAGCAGAAGGCAGAGGCTCTGTTTGGCAGGTCTGGGTTGTGTTTGAAAACTGTAATGCTTCCAGCCCCTTTTATGCGCAAGGAAAAGTTGAATTAACCTCAACCCTGTGGTTCCACTAGGGCGTCATGCGGTCCTCCTGCCGATAGTCACGTGCTGTTATCCCAGGATATCTGCATCCTGCTATCAAAGTCTTCGGCGGGCTGGAAGTAGATTAATTACTGCTTTAGTCCAGAGGGAAGCAACGGTGTCATCTTATTTTCGTTAACCTTTGAGATTAGCGTCTCTGGTAATTTGTATCAGGAAAGCAGGTAGAAAAGAGCAGAGAGGCTTTGAGACTTGCACAGTAATAATTACCTTGCAAGCTTATTCCTGGCCATTGTGCTCCCGTAAGCATTTGAAATTATAATAATGGAACTAAACCTGGAATATAAGCCAAAATTATATCTGAAATTAGACCATGAGGATCAACATTTAAAAGCCATTTATGGCAGCTAAAGGCCCCTTCCCGCAAAGGACATTCTAGGACCTGAGAGCCCACAGCACAGTACTACACACTGTAGCCGCACCTGCGCTGGCCAGGTCAATTTCTAAAGGGCCTTATTGGTCGATCTCAAAACACCTGGGCAGGTTGGTAGTGAGAGAGGCCGTCCTTTCGTTGCTTTAGCACTTGCAGTGCCCATGCCAACATCTTGAGTCGTGCGCGTGAAGCCTCTGGCTGCCAGCACAGATCTTCCGGTGCCGCCGCATGCTTCCTGCACCTTCGGCCGGTCAGCGGCTGGCCCTGCGCTTATCCAGCAGTGCAGCACCGCGCTGTGTGCCAAGATTGGTGCGCACGTCTCAGTGCTGCAGTCCTGCAGATCCAGCCTTTTGCCAAGAGAGACAGAGAGAGAGAGAGAGAGAGAGAGAAAACACACGTTGCCGGGAAAGGATCTGGCGCTGGTTTGGATGGAGTGGAAATTCCCTTCAGCTGCCTGGTTACTACTGTGTGGCCATAAACACTTCAGGGCAGCTGAAGGGAATTTCCACTCCATCCAAACCAGCCGAAGTGGGTGGGTGGGTGGGTGTGGGCTCCTCTTCTTCTAGGCCAGGAAAGTAGTTGATGCACTTGGAGCAGAAGGGACAGCCAGGAACAAAAAACGTGCTCAGTTTATAGGGTAAACACACCGACCCCAAATGCTTCTGCGCGGCTGGGATCTCGGTGGATTTCCCGCCATCCTCTTACTGCGAGGCAAACTTTGGAGCCTCTTTGAACGTTAGGCTCGGTGCCGAAATATCAAAGTGCGCCTCAGCTTCTCGGCCACCATTGCATTTTTTTTGTGGCTGCTTCATCCCTTCCAGCGTGGAACAGTTGGGCTCTCAAAGGTAAGGAAGTTTGGACAGAAGCAGGCTGGAAATGAACAATGTCAGCCTTCCCCCTTTTAATGCTAGGTTGGAAGTTTCTCTTTCGCTCTTGTGGAGTGGAGTTTTTTTTTTAATAATTTATTTTGAGTCTATGTACTAACTGCTGTGCTTCGGTCATTTGGAGGGTGACCCTTCAGAGTCACAACATCACTGAACAAAGTGACTTACAACCATTTTTCACACTTACGACCATTGAACCTCCCCCCGGTTGCCCGAATGAAATTCAGGTGCTTGGCCACTGACTCATTCGACAAGCAGAGTCAGTGGGGGAAGGGCAGTTTCACTTAATGACCGTGGAAGGCGTCGTCCTGTCCCTGAGCCCTTGGCCATCGCAGCAGGCTTGGCTGTGTTTCATGTGAGGAGGGGCCCCTGCTGAGTGACGAATGCTGTTGTGATCTCTAATACTTCCAGGACCCGAGTGGACGCCCCCCGGCTGGAGACTCGGTCGCTGAGTAGCTCTGTGTTGGTCCCAGGCTACGCTTCGGACCGCCTGTCCAGGAGCAATCGGGACCCCCTCCTGAAGCCAAAGAGGTCCCATCGCAAAGCAGACCCTGACGCGGCCCACCGGTAAGAGGCTCCACGGGAGGCGGGCTGGCCCTGGGGGCGGGGGGAGCGAGACTCGGCTGGGTGCAATCTCGGCCTTCTCGGAGTGAGTCCCCTCACGCAGATCTCTTCTTCTCCTCCTCCTCCTCCTCCTTTCAGCCCTCGAATTTTAGAGATGGATAAAGAGGAGAACCGGCGCTCGGTCCTCTTGCCGAAACACCGGAGGCGGAGTCACTTCAGCTCTGAGAACTATTGGCGGAAGTCTTACGAGTACACAGAAGACTTGGAGGAGGAGGAGGAGGAGGAGGAGGAGGACGAGGGGAGTCCGGCACGGAAAGTGAAAATGAGGCGGCATTGAGGAATTCTTGGACACCCACATGCTCCTTCCCCAGTCTTCGAGGTGATGAGACTGGCCTTCAGGCTGTGAAGTGGAATCTCCCCCCTTGGCCCTCCCTTAGTTACTTCTCCTCTACCTTCAAGGCTGTATTGCCCCTTCTCTTCCTGTTTTATCTTGAAAAAGAGCTGGAACAAATCTGGCTTCCTTCCTTTCCTTTCCTTTCCCTTTTCCTTTCCTTTTCCTTTTCCTTTCGTTTCCTTCCTCCTTTCCTTTCCTTTCCTTTCCTTTCCTTTCTTTCCTTCCTTCCATCCTTTCCTTTTCCTTTTCTTTTCCCTTTCCTTTCCTTTCCTTTCCTTTCCTTTCCTTTCCTTTCCTTCCTTCTCCCCTCCCCTCAGCATCCAGGCTGACTAGGATGGATGTGGGGCCGCCTGCCTGCTTTCTCGGGGAAAGTGGCCATGCCTCATAGCCGAGGCAGCTTTTTTTTAAAAAGAAGAAGAAGAAGAAGAAGAAAAAGCTCCGTGGCTCCATCAGGTGTTGGGCTGGAGCAGATTTTGAAGATGCCAAAAAGCGACGCATTTTGAGTACCTGGTGGGGTGGCCGAGTCCCCTCGGCTCCGAAGCTGCTGCTGCTTCCGAAGGCTCCCCCCCCCCCCCCCCCCCCCCCCCCCCCCC